TGCCAGAGCTTGTGACTGACCCAAGGTCACACCAGCAGGTGCAAGTGGAAGAGTGGGGAATCAAACCCGGTTCTCCCAGATTAGAGTCCGCGCACTTAACCACTACACCAAACTGGCTCTTGCAAAGAACTTTCTACCGGGATCCAAAACTGCTCCCGTGACAGGCATAATTCAACAAGGGGCAGGGATGGAGAGAGAGAGAGAGAGAGAGAGAGAGAGAGAGAGAGAGAGAGAAAAGGATATATCTTTGCCGGAGTCGCTCTCCACCTCCACGTCTTCCATCGACTCGAAGTACTGGCTCCAAGGGACGGGGGAATAGTCACGCTTCCGCCCGGGCCTGCAAAACAAGATCCGAGGTTTTAACTCCAAACATTTCATTTATTTACTTATTGATACCCCCCACCTACCCGCCCGACGGGGACTCGAAGTGGCTTACGTCATTCACCTCTCCCCCATTTTATCTTCACAACAACCCTGTGAGGTAGGTGAGGTTGAAGAGTGAGTGACTGGCCCAAGGTCACCCAGCAAGCTGAAGTGGTATTTATTTACTTAATTTGTACCCTGCCCTCCCCACAAAGGCAGGCTCAGGGCGGCTTACACTGAGTAACACATAAAGAACAATTAAAATCCACATAAAATCATCTTAAAACGAGTCAATTATAGATAGATCATAGATCATAAAGTGCTGGTGATGTTTCATTGATGGCTTAAGATGTCGTCCTGAAGAGAGCCTACAAGGTCTAAACAATTTCTTCTGCTCAGTGCTCTTCCTAATGCGAGTGGCGGCACAGGCAAGACGTCAATGCCAAGGGCCAGGGCTTCGTGGTTAAGATTATGGATGGTAATAGTGGTGGCGGCTCCTGAATCGAGAGCCTGGCGGAAGAGCTCCGTCTTGCGGGCCCCCTGCGGAACTGTGAAAGGTCCCGCAAGGCCCCGATCTCTTCCGGGAGCTCACTCCACCAGTATGGAGCCACCACTGAGAAGGCCCTGCCCCTGGTGGCAGCAAGCCTGGCATCCTTTGGGAATTCGAACCTGGGTCTCCCAGATGCTAGATCCAACACTCTAACCCAGTGGTTCTCAACCTTCCTAATGCCGCGACCCTTTAATACAGTTCCTCATGTTGTGGTGACCCCAAAGCATAAAATTATTTTCGTTGCTTTCATAACACCACCGAAAATTTGTGTTTTCCGAAGGTCTTAGGCGACCCCTGTGAAAGGGTCGTTTGACCCCACAGGTTGAGAACCACTGCTCTAACAGCTAAGCAACGCTAACACTTTGGGGGGGGGGGACAGAAAAAATCTCATTAATAAGGAGAGTTATACCATCTTGTGCTTGCACGTAAATATTATCATAGAATCATAGAATGTTAGAGTTGGAAGGGACCTGCAGCCCACTGGGGAGGGCGGGGTATAAGTATGAAAATAAATAAATAAATAAAAATCTAGTCCAACCCCCTGCACTCTAATTATTAGTAATATTATTTTTGAAATGGGGGGGGAGAGCTTGTGAGCCTGGAAGTCATGGTGACTTCTAGCAACCCCTACTGGGGGCTAGGACGTTTCAGAGAGGTGGCTTGATATTACCTGCCTGTCCGTCCCAACCCTGGTATTCCTTGGAGGCCGCCCTTCCAAGCATTTGCCAGGGTCAGCCCTGCTTAGCTTCTGAGATCTGGCGAGACAGGGCTTGCCTGGGCTATCCAGGTCAGGGCGGTATTAGTAACATTATTCATGAGCTATCCCACCTGCATAAGACAGTTTTAACACAATATGGGTGCGTTCCCATGAATTACACCACCGGAAACTGCCCCAGACATAAGAACATAAGAGAAGCCATGGTGGATCAGGCCAGTGGCCCATCCAGTCCAACTCTCTGCGTCACACAGTGGCCAAAACCAAGGGGCCATCAGGAGGTCCACCAGCGGGGCCAGAACTACAGAAGCCCTCCCAATGTGCCCCCCCAAGCACCAAGAAGACAGAGCATCACTTGCCCAAGCCGCAAGAACATTAAGAGATAAGCCACAGTAGATCAGGCCAATGGCCCATCCATTCCAACACTCTGCGTCACACAGTGGCCAAAACCAAGGGGCCATCAGGAGGTCCACCAGCGGGGCCAGAACTACAGGAGCCCTCCTACTGTGGCCCCCCAAGCACCAAGAAGACAGAGAGAATCACTTGCCCCAGACATAAGAACATTAAGAGAGAAGCCATGTTGGATCAGTCCAGTGGCCCATCCAGTCCAACACTCTAGGTCGCACAGTGACCAAAACCCAGGGGCCATCAGGAGGTCCACCAGCGGGGCCAAAACTCCAGAAGCCCTCCCACTGTTGCCCCCTCCCCAAAGCACCAAAGAGACAGAGCATCACTGCCCCAGACATAAGAACATAAGAGAGAAGCCATGTTGGATCAGGCCAAAGGCCCATCCAGTCCAACACTCTGTGTCACACAGTGGCCAAAACCAAGGGGCCATCGGGGGGTCCGCCAGCAGAGCCAGAACTCCAGAAGCCCCTCCCCCTGTTGCCCCCCCAAGCACCAAGAAGACAGAGCATCCCTGCCCCAGACATAGGAACATTAAGAGAGAAGCCAAAGTTGGATCAGGCCAATGGCCCATCCAGTCCAACACTCTGTGTCACACAGTGGCCAAAACCCAGGCGCCATCAGGAGGTCCACCAGGTCTTCTATCATGTTACCCCTCCATCGTCGTTTCTCCAATCATGTCTCCCCTCAGCCTTTAAAGCCCTACAAGGCCTGGGACCAGGGTATCAGCAGGATTGTCTTCTCCCATATGTTCCTGCCCAGGAGTTAAGATCACAGGGAGAGTCCCCTCCTGGGTGTCCCATTAACCAAAGAAACTCGTCTGGCAGGCACACGAGACAGGGCCTTTTTGGTGGCTGCCCCAAGGTTATGGAACGACCTCACCAGGGAGGTGTGCCTGGCCCCCTGCGGGCCTTTAGGAGGCAGTTGAGGTCTTCAGGACTGCATGTGGCTACGCTATTAGCAGTCCTGAACTTGTGACTTTAAAATTTTGCTTGTGGTGTTTTTAATGCATTTTATTTTATGTGCTTTATCTGTACTGTAAACCGCTTCAAACTGTAAGGAAGAAAAGGGGCTAACAAATGATTTAATTCACATTTGAAAAACCCTCTCTTCTAAAGGCTAAACACGCCCCATCCCATTTGTGTGTCCTTCTTTTGTTTTCCAAACCTCCAGCCAGGGGTCATTTCCTGCAGGAGCGCACAGGAGCGGAGCTCCAGCAGTAAAGAGCCTAGGGGGCGGAGACATGCAACAAGCTCCACCCCCGCTCCCAGCAGCCCCAGGCCACAAGGAGCAAGAAGCAGCCAGATAGCAATCCAAAACAGTCCAGTGACACCTTTAAGACCAAGTTTTATTCAGGTACAAGCTCTCCCTCCTCTGCGAGGACAGATCTGCACATCCCCCCCCCCGCCCAATAGCCAAAACAGTCCAGTGGAGCCTGAGCGGTGGGTGTTGCCTTCTGACACACTTCCGGTGATGTTAGGGGGTGTGGCATATGCAAATAAGTCATGCTAATGGGTTATGCTAATGAGCTCCCGCACCTCTTTTTCTACGAAACGACCCCTGCCTCCAGCCATTTATACTACCCTCCTCTAGACCCAGGCCTGTTAGCCAAGCCTTTTCTTTCTCCTGATGAGAACTATTTATTTATTTATAAATTCAATTTTTTTTTTAGCATAAGAAGAGATTGGATTGATACCCCGTTTTTCACTACCTGAAGGAGTCTCAGAGTCGCCCAGCAGCTGCCCGTGGAGGAAGTGGGGAATCAAACCCGGTTCTCCCATATTAGAGTCCGCACTCCTAACCACTACGCCAAACTGGCTTTTTAGACCATCCTCCCTCACATTTGCGGCTCAGGGCTGTGTACAGCATTCAGGAATACGGATGAGAAGAAGAGGGAAAAGAGGAGATTGGATTCACATTCTGCCCTTCACTACCCGAAGTAGTCTCAGAGCTGTTTACAATCTCCTTTCCCTTCCCCTCCCCGCAACAGACACCCTGTGAGATAGGTGGGGCTGAGAGAGCTCTTTCGAGGACTGCCCTTGAAAGGACAGCTCTGAGAGAACTGTGACTGACCCAAGGTCACACCAGCAGCTGCATGTGGCGAAGTGGGGAACCAAACCCGGTTCTCCCAGAATAGAGTCCGTGCTTTTGATTACTACACCAAACCGACTCTTCATTTCAAGCACAAAATACAATTAATTAAAACAGCAAAAACAGATATAAATACAGTTTCAATACCGTCCAGATGGCGTCTAAAATCAATCTGTCCTTACCCTAAGGGGGGGGAGGTGAGTGGAAAACAGGCTGGACTGATTAAAAGACGTTGCTGTCCTCAACCGAAGGCCTGGTGAACGTCTCTGCCTTACAAACCCGACGCAACTGAACTAGGTCCCACAGGGCACAGATATCATTTGGCAGGGAGTTCCACCGGGTTGGTGCTGGGTTTCCCTCTCAGTGGTAGAGCATCCGTTTGGCATGCAGAAGGTCCCAGGTTTAATCCCCGGCATCTCCAGTTAAAAGGACCAGGCAGGAGGTGACGGGAAAGACCTCAGCCTGAGACCCTGGAGAGCCATAGGGAGGGGCTGTGGCTCAGTTGGCAGAGCATCCGCTTGGCATGCAGAAGGTCCCAGGTTCAATCCCCGGCATCTCCAGTTAAAAGGACCAGGTAGGAGGTGATATGAAAGACCTCAGTGGCTCAGTGGCAGTGCATCCGCTTGGAATGGTTCAATCCCCGGCATCTCCGGTTAAACCATCAGGCTTTGCTTGTTGCTTTGTTCGACATTCCTTCAGAGATCCCTCCTTCCTGCCCTGTTTTCAATTGTTTTCAATTGTTAGTTCTGTGTATGTGCTTCTTATTTATCTAAATGGAGAGGGGCTCTGGCTCAGTGGAAGAGCCTCTGCTTGGCAAGCAGACGTTCTCAAGTTCAATCCCCGGCCTCTCCAGGAAGAAGAAG